AGGAAGGAAGGAAGGAAGGAAGGAAGGAAGGAAGGAAGGAAGGAAGGAAGGAAGGAAGGAAGGAAGGTCTCAAAAATCCCTTAAAGGAATAATGAAAAATGTTATTATTTACAGATCAACGTGCAAGATTCATAAAACAGTAAACAGTTCAATGAACTAAAAGAATTATGAAATATTTCTTATAGAAACAGTTTATAAATTATATTTAAAAAGGAAAGGTAGAACATGACAGAACCAGGATTTTTTTAAAATAAGATTCAGGTGGACTTTCTTCCATGCCTAATTATTTAATGTTCAGCTTTCTAGTGTGCCTTCAAACTGAGCACTTCTACATGATTTCTTCTTTTGAACTGAAAACAAGGATTTAAAACAGTGAGCTCTAACACCTTGACATTGAATTAGCTCCTGCATATAACATGACTAAATACTAAAATCTTTTTTGAACAAATAATGACTTATCACCATATACTTTTCACACCATCTATTCTAAAACAATTGTGTCTCATTGAAATGGTGACATCTCATTGAAATTTTTATCCAATAAAAACCATAAGCAATTTGATCAGGGGAATTTTATCCAATAACAGGATCATCAGACAGACAGTACGGATAACTACTTGATAAATATGTGTAAGAAATAAAATAGCAATTATAGCAATTAATAGCTATGGGTAAAAGCAAAAGAACTATGCTCTGGCAAAACACCAGAAGATTATATATATAATTAATTTTAAATGTAGATAGTATTTTTCACCCTAGTAGGTTCTAAACTGGTATAAACAGTCTCTGTGTAATGCCTATAATATGTAGGGTAGGGAAGAAATAGAGCATCTGTTTATTGCTCTACAGTAATGCTGGACTACATAGCTTTGGAGAGGAAATTTCTCTGTGGAAACAAGTGAGGAATTTGAGGGTGCAGAGTACTGTTACCCAGACTGATTTTTGCCCAGGCCATCAGCTTTAAGATCTTTGTTCTCATAAATGGGACATGAAATCTCTGAAATTACCATAGGCAGCAAGGATATGTTTGTCTTTGTAATAACACTATGTAAGCCACAGAGTTTCTGCAAATACATGTTGCACCCAAGAATCTGTAGGATTTAGAAAAAAGGTTCCCAGAACGCTGTGATCCCACTCCCTCCCAGTTCTCAGGTTTTCTTTGGGAAGAAGCTGTTCAAGTAATATAGCAGCCTGGCCTATGGATGCTTGAGTCCTGACGGCGTGAGTTGTGGAAGAAGGGTCACAAAGCAGCCCCATCATGTGGTGCAGGGGTACTAAACACCACCACCTATCACTTCAGTCAGACTAAACAGCTTGTACATGTGTCTATGAACATTAAATTCACTTCAAACAGCAGGGAGCAGGCAACCTACTGTTTGAAATAAGAATGTGAGCTTACAAATCACCCACTGTTGAGGGACTCTCCGCATCAGACCCCAAGCCAGGAGGCAATCTAGCTTTCACTCTGATGGTTCCTACAGCATTGAACTGGCTTCTTTGCAAAATCCCATTCAGTTCATCTCTGCCTGTTTTTGAAATAACTCCCCTCCAAGACCCTTCCTGCCCGAAAGGTGTTTGCAAAGTTACTGTGCTCATAAATAGTTTAGATCTTGGTTTGTCTTGGTTGGGTTTGAGTTTGGGTTTTTTCTTCATATTTTGTAGGGAGGTCTTATTATTTGAAATAATTTCTTTGCCTTAATTACCTTTCATTTTCCATTGGTCTTAGTACTACACCACAGAGAACCAAAAACCCCTCACTACTTTGGTTTACTTACCATTGTTTGATATCGCACCATTTACCAAACTTTCCAGACAGCAGTGATGAACAATAGCATGGTGGGCCACTAAAACGTGGTATCCATTCCTAACAGAACTCATGGCAATCTTGCTGAAACCAGTAATATTATTGCTTTGGCAAAAAACCAGTTTAAATCTCACCTTATCAGCCAAATTAGAAGCGGATAGGTTTCCAGGAAGGCATTTTCCCATTGGGTACGACCACAATGTAACCAATATAAAAACACATGGGATTTAGTTTAGAATGTCTTTCGTTGTATGGAAGTCCTATAGCACTTTATCACTGTTGTTCTAAGTTAGCTGATTTGTTTTAAGGTTCTTTGAAAAGCTTAAATATGAAAAAGGAAATGAGATTCCTTATTTTCACAAAGTTCTCAATCCAGAGGTATATAATATATAAAATCTTCAACGAAAGTAATCTACTACTAAAATAAGTGGGAAGTTTATTGGGAAGCTCTGTTCTCATTTTCAGTGGTATCTTTTTATATCACCATGCATTTTCCTAAACTTCCATATACATTTAAAAAATTATTTTAAAAGAACAAGCTAGTTCTATCCTGTACTAACACATAGGTGCTAATTTCTTAGTTAAACATTATCTGTCATATGAGCCAGTCACCCCTGAGTGTTCACTTTTGTGTGAAAACTATTCTGGAAGAGTATTTTTATTAGGATGTATTGCCTGCCTAATTTCTCTACAGTAATTAAAAAAAAAAAAAGTTACATGTACAGACATGCAAAGCCTGTGTTTTTAAGGTGCTTGAATGTGTGTCAAGAAAAATAGCAAAATAAAAATTCTTATATTTAATATTAGACTTGTCAACATGATATATATATTTTACAGGCATTTCAATCTCTAGTTACTTTGATGTGGTTATGGTGGAAAATAATACTAAATATAGAATCATGGCAATTAAAATAATTCCTCTACTTGTAGTTACAAAACTTTGGATATCTGTATTTTAGAGACACATCTGAAGGCCACATAGTTTTGAATCTACTGTAAACATTGTGCATTTTGACACTGACCGTTTGCCACATAGCAAATATTTCACTGTTATAATTTACATGGTATCAAAGGGGGGAGGGAGAAACAATAGTCAGTAGGGTGAGGCACTTCTTTTTCTTTCTTGCTGAAATTATATGAAATCAGACAATTTTAAATTCTACGTTCCAGAGTAACTTGTAATAATTTTTAAATTTTGAGAATATATGGAGTCCAGAATTTCGGAGGAGGCCTTAACTTTTACAAGAAGATCTGGGCATTTATAGACAAGATTCTGGAAAATAAATTTGGCTCATCTTGGTAAGTATCAACTCTCCTCTCCAGACAGGCTTTATCTCTGCTTGCAGAACTCTTACTTTCATAAGAAGGAACATGAATGTTCTAGAGGTAAGATTCAATATCCTTAAAAAGTATCCTCTTAAGAGAGGCCGCAGGAGACCCATTGCTTGAGTCATTTAAATCTAAACTGGACAAAACTTCAGAGAGGACACTATAGGGAACAGTTTTGGATGAGTGGGGACTGTACAAGTTCATTTAACAAATTGTTCCCATTCCTAGCTCCTGTGATTTTGCAGCAACTTCTATAAGATGCAAAATACACAGAACTTCCAAGATGGTTGAGCACCCAACCAATGGGTTGAGCAGATAGCCAAAGTTTTGTAACTACAAAAAGAGGAATTATTTTAATTGTCATTTTAATCTTATGTCTTTTTCTAGAGCCACATTATATAGGTCTTATTTAGTTGTGCCATAAACTAGGGCTAGACACAGCAGATATATTATGGGATTATGATTCACAGTGGCACACTTCCTCAAAATATCAATGCTATTGTCAAACATTTAAGATCATGCTCTTTCAGTTCTTCCACTAACAAAACTGCATAATTTCATTGTAAATTTTTTAGCTATAGCTAAAATCATCATTACTTTGTTTTGTATTTTGATGATTTGTTTTTGTTTGTCTGTTTTCCCCCTCAAATTACAAGGCAATCAGTACGTAGAATTATTGAAACAGTGTGCTAAATAAAAACCTACCATGTAACTTTTAGCAGATACATCTCAATCTGCACTGGTTTTCTTCTGGAGCATTTGTATTGAGTAATAGTAACAATAAACTGTGGGGTTATTTTCACTTTAGAATAGTAAAATACAGGTACTTTTCCAAGGGTACTTTCAAGCAAACATCAGTGGACAAGAAAAAAACCCATACTTTGTAAGCAAAAGCTTGAGAACTCTACACAGGACTGAACCCAACATAGCCAATGTGTACAGATCAGACGCGCAACACCTCAGAAAAGAGTGAACTGCTCTTTAGCAAGGAGTATGATGGAAGTATGATGAAATCTAAAATGCTTAATGGTTCTATGCTGTACATGGTTTAGGGATTCAGATCAGTCATATTTACTTCTATTTATGTCTATACTAGACGTCAAGCTTTTATTTCCAGAATTAAACAGTGAATTTTGTCACCTATTCCCACTGAACATTTTGCTTGGCTGCCTATCCAAAAAAAGCCTATCATAGCATAGCATTTGTGGATAAGAAGAGCAAAGCCTGCTATGCTTATGAAAATTAAATAGTAGGTTTAAAAAAAAATTAAAATCCTATAAACTATTTGGGAACTGTATTATGAATAATATTATAAATGCTTTAAACCATGAAGAAACAAAATTTGCTATGCAGCTTTCAGATGGCAGCTTTTTTTTCCTTTAATCATGTTTACTGAGCAGTTTTGAGATGTAGACAGGCAGTCACTAGGGACTGAACAAAGATCAGCGAGCTTATTTTAGTAAGGACTTGAACTTGGCCTCAAACTCAAAAGCGCAGTCTCAGAGGTAAAAGGTTAGTGTGCTAAATGCCCTGCTTTTTGGATATCCAAAACCAGCACAGAGTGCCACCAAGTTCTTTCTCTCACTCTGTATGACGGTAAACTGAAATAGTTGTGGCCACTCTTAAGACAGGAGAGGTAATTTTTGTTTCCTTGTGTTAGTAGGAA